TTATTATTATTATTATTATTATTATTATTATTATTATTATTATTATTATTATTATTATTATTATTATTATTATTATTATTATTATTATTATTATTATTATTGTTATTAATTATTATTATTATTATTGTTATTATTAATTTTCAACATCGTAGGGATATTATTATAAAACTTGTTGTCATCATTATCCTAATCATTTATTATTAGCATTAAGTGAAAAAGTTAAAATTGAAGGATGGAATCATTTTATATTATCTAATTATTATTTATATTTATCGTTGTTATCATTTATTTATCCATCACAATCACCAAAGTTATTATCACCAACAATATCATTGTTAACAATCAGTAGCGGTAACAACGTTGCATTTTCCCCTTTCGGCATTTCCGGTCCGTTCATTTTAATCGCCATTGCATTAAATCTATTAAAATAATCTATTAATAATAAAAAAAAAGTTTCATTAAAAAAGCGGAACAAAAGAGGAATCAAAATTCTCTTCATCACGTCATCAAAAAAAAAGTGTAACTTAAAGGAAAAAATTTTTTTAAACTGTAATTACTTGAAAAAAAAGGCAGAAAATTGAGAACGAAACTGTAATTTCATCTTTTGTTCTTACAAGAGGTGGAAAAAAATTCAATTTATTTTTAAAATATTGTTTTTAGGTAACTATTATCCAAAAGGTGTTTGAAAAATAAAATCAAATGAGAAAAAAGGAAAAAAATTGCAAATACTCCTTTAAATACTATGAAAAATAAATTAAACAATACTAATTTTGATAATTATTATTTTTAATAGATAAAACTGATCAGTGAATAATGAATGTGTCAACAGTTGTATTTGTCAATTAATCTTGTCATGGTTTATTTGAGAAAAAAAAAAGGCATCATGATTAACATCATTTCTAATCACTATTATCAAAATCATTGAAGATAGCACATTCTTAACCCAATTTTTTTTCTTTTTCATTCTTTTGTTAATCGATTCATTCTTTTTTTTCTTTCTGAAAAAATTAAAATTAAAATTAGTGTTCTATTATATGGTTTTATTTATAATGAAAGAATTTTCGCATGTTTCTCCTCGCTTTCTTTTTTTTTTCTTTTAAAAACAATTACAGTAAAGGAGTTAATTTGTACAAATTACACAATTCATTTCTCTTGTTTAAAATAGCGAATCATTCATCAAGTCAAGAAGTTTAATGATTAACAATAAATTCAGTTTTTTTTTTTTTTGTTACGATCTTTTAGATGTTCAGGAGCATACTGATAGATACATAAATTATATTGTTTAACAAGACCTTTCAAATGACCTTGCATACATTTTTTCAAAAAATATTAGAACTAACCAATACTGATCAGCCTTTTACCGTTTTTTTTTTATTTTTGTTCTTTGATTTGAACGAATAAAATACATGAAGACGAATGTTTATAGCTCAACCTGTCTATAATAATGAATTACTTGATAAAACAGTAAACATTCCTAACGATGGGATGATCTTTATACCGTATGCCTAAGCAAAAGTTATTAGAGAGAAAATTTCACACTAATTATAAAATTTCAACTACGATACATTCAAAAAAAAATAAATTTGTGAACACAAATCGTAACATTCATTTTACGTATGGTGACAATCAAAATCAGATTAAATGATGACTGTTCCACAAATTGGGTGAACCTGACAGCTAATAACTTTCAAAATTTACCATGTCAGGAACTGACAAACTGTTGAACTCAATAATTTTATAAGATACCATCATTTATTTATAATATATTTGCATATATGTATCACGACAAATCCCTTAATATTTTTATCGAAATAAAAGACTAATATTGAAAAACTGACCGTCAATAATTGAAAATATTTCAGTGCATCCCATCGAAAAATAAAGAAAAAAAACAAAAGACAAAACATAATTACATCGAATTTTTTGAAAAAACTTGCAGTGGTTAACAGATCTACTTGTATGCATTGTATCAATAAATCAGTGATATTCATTACGATCATTATTAACTTCATAAATCTAGAAAAAATGATTACGAAGGACTTTTACTAACCATTAAAACTTGGAAGCACAATTAACTGAAGCACAAAGTCATCGCAGGACAAAACATCTAACCCATGACTCTAAATTTTCATAGTGAACAGAAGACCACCTACATAAAAAATAAAAAGATACAGCTCTTCGTAGGAAATCTAGGTCGGAAGTTGCACTTCTCTACCATTTTTGAATGTAAGCAAAAATGAAAAAAACAATGAGCTTCGAAAAAAATTGTGAAATTCCAAATTTTAAAAAAATAAAAGTGGAAAAAAAAAGGTTATCTAGCATATATTGCATCACATCAGTGTTAGGAATAAACATTTGTGACTAACTAATTACAATCATCAAACGAATGTTACAATCACTGGTTGTCTAGCATATATTGCATCTATAAGATGATGGAAAAAACTTCACTTTTACGATAGGTTTCAATCAGAGGCAATAATAAAGGGCTCCGCTGCTTCATCAAATTTTTTGTTCACGAGTCCTTAAAAAAATCGGAATAATCATTAATAATAAATTAACGCTCCGTTATATTTCGCATTCATAGATACAAACTTTTTTAGTAAGCACTTTTTCCTTTATAAATATGACATAATAAAACGAACTTCTGAATATGCATTTGTCAGCGCGAAATATAACGAAATATTTGTCAAACAAGATAAGATTTGTGATCTTTTCGATATATACATATAGTTCCACTAAGATTCAAAGACCACTAAAATTTGTTACGTCAAAAGATAAAAGAATTGTTCTCTGTACAACAGCTAGTTTGCTGAATTATAAAATAATAATAATAATAATAATAATAATAATAATAATAATAATAATAATAATAATAAATAATAATAATAATAATAATATAATAATAATAATATAATAATAATAATAATAATAATAATAATAATAATAATAATAATAATAATAATAATAATAATAATAAT